CCACTTGGGGAAGGGGGGAGGAGTCCGGTGACGTAGATGTCTGTGATGTCACATGACTCCTCCCCCCTTCTCTTCGTTAGCCGACGGAGCCACTTTGGCAGGTGAGTTTGCCCAAGAAACTGTCTGCACGAGCGCCAGCCAAGGCATTGGCCTATACACATACAGCACAGCAATGAAGTCATAAAATGAACTAGGATCACACTAATCCAGCACGTTATTATTCTGAGTTGCCGCACTCAAGCGGCGGCCATATTGAGTGGGGCACGTGAGATTAATAACGTGCTGGATTAGTGTGATCCTAGTTCATTTTATTACTTCATCGCTGTGCTGTATGTGTATAGGCCAATGTAGTTGGATCTGTATGTGCGTTATAATTAATCGATTAAAACAAATTTCGATTAATCGAACACGAAAATTTTAATCAGTAACAGCCCTAGTATAATCTAAAATATAGTAAATAGATACCCGGCATTGCACCCCCCTGCTGCCCCTCTACTCCCTGCTGCCCCAAGGCCGGGCCTTGGTTGGCTTTGTGGAGAATCCGGCCCAGGGGACAATTGGAGTACAGCTCTAGGCAAAACCTTTTAGTTTTGGATAGAGTGGAGAAGGGGTAGGCCCTCTGTTAGCTTTTTATTGGTGTCCCTATTGAGGAGATTCACCCTTGGTGGGTTAGGTTTAGACCAGGGGTAGCAAACCTCCGGCCCTCCAGCTGTGGTGGAACAACAAATCCCATGAGGCATTGCAAGAATCTCACAGCCACAGACATGACTCCCTAAGAGAGATGCATCATGGGATTTGTAGTAACACCACCAGCATTACTTAGCCCTGATCCCTGCACTCTGCATTACTTAGCCCTGATCCCTGCACTATGCATTACTTAATCTTGACCTCTGCATCTCTGGAATACTTACTCCGGACAGCTCCATAAAGAAATGGTTTAATTTTTGTGTAGAGGAGTTAAGATTCCTCCTCAGATCCCTCACCTCAAACCTAATGAACATCTTTGGATGAACTACACAGCTGGATTGAACAGATTATGACTGGAGACGGGTCTTCTCATTCAGCGTCAGTACCTGACCTCACAAATGGTCAATAATTCACACAGACACACCCCAAAACCTGATGGAATGTCTTCCCAGTAGAGTGGAGCTGTGATGGCCACAAAGGGGGGCCAACTCCATCTTGGAATACGATGTCCACCAAGCTCAGAAATGTGTGATGGTCAGGTGACCAGCAACATTTGGCCATACAGTGTAGATAGAAATTGTATGATCTATACATGAATAAATTCAATACAGAAATATTGTTCACTTCTCTTTATTGGTTATCTTGTCAATCATATTGTTACTCTTTACCTGTTTGGTTTGTTTTTCCCTGTTATATAATTGAGGTAAAACAGAACGGCAATTGCTCCACACATGCAGGGCCGGATTTCCCACAAGGCCAACCAAGGCCCGGCCTTGGGGCAGCAGGGAGTAGAGGGGCAGCAGGGGTGTGGAATTCCTATCTCCCGACGTTGGGCACATACAGTTCTGGGCACCAGGTGGGTAGTTGTTGGGTAGCCCTGCTTTGGGCAAGTCAAGATAAATGTACAGCCGCTTGTTTTGACAAGTGATCTCGGTGATGTCGCCGAGATCACTTGTATGCAGCCTGCAGGTCTGCCGTTCTCTATTGGGGGGGGGGAGGGGGGCGCCTTGAGGAGCCTGGCCTTGGGGCAACAGAGTGAGTAAATCAGGCCCTGCACACACGACATTATAATGATCAATCTCTCTCTTTAAATTTGTTTCTCTGGAGAATCCATCTCAAAGTCTGTTTGATTTCTTTGGCTCGGAGGAAATATATGATTGGATTGGTCATGTGAGGTACAAAGGAGTAGAGAAAAAGTAGGAGTGCGCTGGTTTCAGGTTTTATCTTGACAAGAGGAACATTACTTACAATGTACATAAAGATTCGGGGAGTGAAATACAAAGCGATGACCAACAAATGGGTCACGCAGGTGTAAAATGTTCTCCGGAGGCTCTCAGAGCGAATCGACAAGATTGTCACTATTATTTTGACATAGGAAGCTAATATCAGCCCCAGCGGCAATAGAAGAACAACCATAGCATTGGTCAAGACCACCTTCCTTGAGCCGGATATATCGGCACCTGCTAAAGCTGCATAGGCCGTGTAGCTACAATACAAACTGTTAACCTTGTTGGGGCCACACAGGGGGATCTGTGATGCTAGAACGGCACACAGTAAATTTAAAGAAGAAGACAAAATGATCCAGCAGATGCCACAGGAAATGGTGACCGCTTTATTGGTCATAATGGAGGTGTATCTCAGTGGGTGGCAGATGGCCACATATCGATCTGCGGCCATGAGCATCAAGAGGAAGGAGTCCATGCTTCCAAAATAATGAACCAAGAAGATCTGGAAGTGGCACATCCTCAAGGGAATGGTGGAAGCTCCGAACCAATACCTGGCAATGAGATTTGGTAATGTCACGGTGTCAAATAATAGGTCAGAAACAGCAAGGTTGGCTATGAACAGGTACATGGGCTGACGTAGATATTCATTAAAGGTGACCAAACATACGACGGTGCCGTTAGCACTCAGCGATATCATATAGGCAAAGAACATCATGGTAGATACCAAGCCATGAAAGGCTTCAGCGAGCCCAGGGAATCCAACTAATATAATTTCCGTCACTGCCGTGTGATTAGACATGATTCCTAAAATAGTCCAGAGGAAAAATGTACACAGCTCACACACAGTACATAGTTAAATTGTATGTAAAATACAGTTGGAATGAAGCAAGGAGCAGAGAACAAATATCTTCAGATGTCTGCTATAGGAACGCACCGATACCGGTTTTTGGATATCCAGTACGAGTACCGATATTTATCTTTCGGTACTCGCCGATACTGAGTACTGATACCGGTACTTCAACTAGCATGGAGCCGGCTTCTCGGGCAATCAGGAAGCCGGGCGGCGTGTCATTACCCATCGCCTGGCTTCTTAATTGCCCGAGAAGCCAGCTCCCAGCTGTTTGGCTGGCTTGATGTTGATGTTGCCAAGTAGAATCAAGCCGGCTTCCTGGCTGGTATGCCGTCTCCATGTTCCCTCGTGGCACTGCCGGTCAGAGATGCAAAAAACGTGTGTCTTACTGCACTCCTTACCGGATCTCCTAGGAGATGATGTCTGTAATCGGGTGCTTGTAGCGACCACGGAGGCACCGTGTAACCAAGTAATAATCCCAAAATATGTCACCAGCACTCCAAAAGTAGAATCAAAAACTTTTAATGACAACTGTCATTCAAAATCACTGATTTTGAATGACCGTTGTCATTAAAAGTTTTTGATTCTACTTTTGGAGTGCTGGTGACATCTTCTGGGATTACTGCCGGTTAGAGGACATCTCCCTCTGACCAGAAGTTCAGGTATCAGGGAAGGTTTCCTGGTTTCCCGGCTAAGCAGCATCGAGCCGACCAAACAGCATGGAGCCGGCTTCCCAGCCAATCAGGAAGTCGGGCGGCGAGTCCTTATCAGTCACCCGGCTTCCTGATTGATCTGGAAGCCGGCTCCGTGTTCCCTCTCAGCACTGCCGGTCACAGGAAATCTCCCTCCCAATACCTACTCGTACTCGCCCAAATACTCGGTATCGGCACTGATACTGATGCTAGTATCCCTAGTCTATGATCTTTATATGTGCTGCTTTTGTACAAATGATTGTGGAAAAGGAAGGCTTTTCTACCAATTTTGGAACCTAATTAAAGCAAAACCTATATATACATATACAGGTGAAACTCGAATAATTAGAATATCGTGCACAGTTCATTTATTTCACTAATGCAACTTAAAAGGTGAAACTAATATATGAGAGAGACTCATTACATGCAAAGCAAGATAGTTCAAGCCGTGATTTGTCATCATTGTGATGATTATGGCGCACAGCTCATGAAAACCCCAAGAACCCCAAATCCACAACCTCAAAAAAGTAGATTATTACTGCCGCTCCTCCTCTCCCTGCCAAGCTGCGTCTGTGTTGGCCGCCTGGTGCCCCTGTTGCCAATGGCAGCCTGTGCTCGCCATAGCAACAGGGGCGAGGGGGCGCAGCCAGGCTGGCCCTGGCTGTGCCCCCTCTCAGCTGCGCCTGAGGCGAGTGCCTCACTCGCCCCACGGTAGCTACAGCCCTGGTAGCAGCCCCAACAGATCTAAAGGCCAAGTGGAAAGCTAGAGGTGTCTTCCTAAAAAAAACAGAGCTTAAGCCCTCAAATATGGGTGGACAAAAATTAGCCACACCATTCATTCATAGACTATAATGGGAACTAATTCTCATGAGCTCTGTGCGCTCTGGTTCTGCATTGTAGTGCTAATGAAATGTATTAGTGTGAACGGGCCCTTATCCCTAAACCAATCTACAGCATAGCAGATCAACGTTACATAGTTGTTCCCAGTAGAACAGAATGTCTGCCATCAGTGGTAACCCTTAAGTGCTTTAGATGTGAACACAATGGCTGCCTTTGGTGGTGGCCAGAGTAGTATAACCTGTAGCTCCCTAGGAACCAGATGGCCATGAGGACTCATTTGGACTGCGGCCAGGGCTGGATTTACTCTCTCTGCTGCCCCAAGGCCAGGTTCCTCAATGTACC